AACTGATTGTACTAAGGCTTGTCTGGAGAAGCATGGGAAACATGCTTGAGAGTTCAAGTGACGAGCGACTCATCCGAAATCGAGTTGTGTCAAGACTACAAGATAATGAAGGGATGACTAGTCGATTTCGACGAGATGTTCTGAGATTTACTCTGTCAGTCGTTAGCGTTGCTACGCTTCTTTACTTTTCTCTTTTTAACCTACCCACTGCCGGCGGCAGTGGGGGCGGCAGCATGCCGCCCGTAAGCAGGTACCATTGAACTACTCGGTTAGATCTCCTTCTTTCCGGATCTCATCCGTTGCTATTCTTGAGATCTGTAGGTTACACATCGTAGCTCAATGACTCGGTTTTGCCGCCAAGTGTGGGTGAGTCGAGTTCTAGACTCAAGGGCGGGGAAGCCTAAGAGGTGGACTGGAGAGTCGCAACTAACTTGAATTGAGGTGGCATTGCCGTCCCACTCGGAGCAACTGATTGTACTAGTGCTTGTCTTGGGGTGCCATAGTTACCCCACTCGGACGATGATTAGACTAAAGCTTGTCTTTGAGTGGCAGAGCTGTCCCACTCGGAGTAACTTATTGTACTGGTGCTTGTCTTGGGTTGGCATAGTGGCCCCACTTGGAGGATTTGATCAGACTAAGGCTCGTTACCAGTGTCAGTCGGAAGTTCGTTCTCCCTCATTCTAGCATAGCGACTATCGTTTATGCTATTTGTTTCGTTCCGCGAGCACACTCATGCATGCACTATTATGTTCATGGTGGCAATGCTGTGACTGACTTGTTCTGAGTTGAAAAAATCTACTTCGGCGGCTGAAGGATTTCTCTGAGTCATGAGTGATAGGTTCGCCCTCTCGATGGAACCGCTTTTGTTGTGTGTGGACCCGCAGCAGTTGACGATTGAACGAGGTGCGGTTTGACCTGGAATGGTAGTAAGGGATTGGTGGGAGCCAAAAAGGGTATGAGTGCGTTGCCTTGCTCATAGTGAACTACTTCCCAGAGTTACGACGTGTACTTAGGGAAAAGGTTCACTCCTCTGCCTTGGTATTAAAAATTTGGTACCCGACTAGTGAACGCAAGAACACTTTCATAGCATATCACGAGGCCAGCGAACAACAAATGATAGCGCACGTCTTTTTTTGGTGAGAGGGAGGTGGGAATTCAAACCTCAGCCTGCTCGGTTTTATTAATAACACGATCATCATAATCATCAAGTTCAATATCGATGTCATCGACTGCGGTGGAGTCCACTGTGGGCGAGGAAGCACCTTTGGTGATTGGTGGCAGTTGCAGAAGTTGCTTCTCGAGCCACGCTTCTCGTGA